GAGGAATTTCTTACCTGATATACATAGAAGAAGAAACAAAACCGCCTTGTTCTTGATCCTCATCCTTGGTTTCTGTTTTCTCTGTTATACAAGTAGAAGAAAAGCTTTGAGTAATTTTAGGCCATCTACATGGGGGTGTCCCCATGGGGATACCCACCCTAATACCATTTTTTTTTTCCCTTCAAATAAAAAATTTAGGGAGTGTGAGTTAAATAAAAAATCTGGGTGCAACTTATGAAGAGTCTCTCGAATTTCTTCATTGGAGATGTGAGAGTCTCCCTTAGGGATTTTAAATGCAACTTGAACAAAATAATATGGATTGTGATGATACGGTATTTCGGAAACTCAATATCACCAATGGAGATGCTCTTAAGGGCAGGCTCAGGGTGACACAGCTACCACTACTACAAGAGTGCTTTTTTTTTTTTTTTTTTTTAAAATTGAGAATAAGTTTACTTTTTAGCACAAGTGCAGTATATACAAATGTACATAGTACAGATATAACCATATGAAAAGGTAAAAACCTATCTTTAGCCCCTCATTTTATCAAGTTTGAAGGTTTTAGCCTTTCACTTTATATTATAACACTTTTAACCTCTCACATTATTAGATTTGTAAGTTTTAACCTTTCACTTATTAAAATCGTAGAAAATAACTTCTATTTTATACTGACTGTAAACTTTGTTAACTGAAAGTAAGTTTTTATCAATTAATAGTCAATTAATAGTCAGTTAATAGAATGAACGAAATATTATAAAATTAATTATGTTAATTCTATTAGCTAAAAGAAGGTTTTTGTCAATTAATAGTCAACTAATAGTCAGCTAACAGAACTAACAAAATGTTACAAAATGAGGGCTATTTTTTTTTTCAATTTTAATAGGTGAAGGGTTAAAAGTATCATAATATAATATAAGGTGATAGGTCAAAACCTACAAATATAGTAAGATGATGGGTTAAAAATGTTACAGTATAAGATGAAAGGTTAAAACCTTCAAATTTAGTAAAGTGAGAGGCTCAAAGCAGGCTTTTGCCCATCCGAAAAAACCTAGAAAAAACTCACCATTTGTGGGAGTCGAAACCACAACCTTGAAGTTGAGGGGCATCAACCTCTAGTTCCTTAACCACAGTATAAATATAAGTTTACCTTTTTTGCTTTAAATTGTATTCCATTTTAAGAATT